TTGCGGGTCCTTCGGATGAGACCTTAAAAACACAAGCCCCATGTCAGCGGCAGGCGTTGGCACGATAAAGATCCCTCACTGCTCTATGGCCCTGAGTGCCGAGTAATGGTAAAAAATTTGAAGCCCTTCACCAGCATACGGTGACGTCTCCATATGAGTGAAAAATTCTCGAGAGGGACATTAAACAATATACAATCAATCTAATATATATTTGTTTTAGAATTAGGGGAAAGAGATATTTATTATTTGTAAACATGTCAACTGTGATATAATTATTCATTCAATTTGCTATTCTAGTACACCAATAATTTTTTCTTGGTTTTTATTCCATCATTCACATAAAAGTTGATTTAAATTAAATTAAATGACCTTTATTGTTACATGTACTTACAGCTTTTATGAAAGACCGACAAACGACATTGTTGACAGCTAGACGTTGGAATGTCAAATGAGATTTCAGTCGAGACTTGAACAAGATCTGTAATTTACTTCCTGGTTAAAATAGAGATAAATTTAGATTTAAATACCCATACCTGAGGCCTGTTTAATAGCACTGGTTCTCTGCCCTTGATTCCAGTCGCTGCCGCTAGGAATTACAAGTTTTGGTTTTTTAGGGCGCTTGTGCCCGTTAACCAATGTCAGGGTACCAGTCTAGCCTGTTTAACAGAGCGAACGTTTGCCAGCGCTCGCCAACATTCTTTATACCTCCATTAAAAAACTTCCATGACATCACCCATTGTTAATATAAGCTCTATGTATATATTTAAGGAATATGTTTTTAAATTTAGTGTGAATTATTGGTGTGTGAAAATTCACACAGACTTGTCACTTAGGCATATTTCATGAAGCGTGCTAGCGCTTCAAGAAAAATATGCCTTATATTTACATTTTTCAGTGTCTAAAAGCACCAAAACTATATAGCTGCAATATATATATATCCAACTGACACAAACTATATTAAGGAATTTGCAGTATATTGTTGTTACTCATGTCTCTCTGTCCGTCTAGCTGTCCGTTCATCGGTCTGTCACTTTTCTTCCCTGAACTCCTCTTACATTTTACACAGTAGCCTAATCATTTTTAGTTAGATATGCAGTAAGGTTTCGGAATTTTCATTTGATAGTTCACATGAATTTTAGAAGTGGAACTTTGACAATTTTTATTCAGACACTTATTGATGAAAAAGATCAAGTAATTAAATTCTTAATATTTGACAGCATTTATTTATATTCATATATCATCATCATGCTTGTTCTATCATTTGGATCCTCCTCCTTCTATTTGTAAATCTTTTTGCTCCTCCGGGGGCCCAAATTGGATTAATAAAATCTTGTATCTTGTATCTTGTATTCACATATTCATGTACAACACTACTCCATCTCCCATCTGTCCCTCTGCTCTAATAACAACTGTGACAAGAACTAAACAACATAAACTTGTATATTATGCGAGTTAATACAAACAACTTTAAAACCAAAAAAATGTTGTAGCGTACGAAGAAAAAAAATAAAGAAATAAATCATGGCTTCATTAAGTGAAAATTCATCCTATTATTACCAGTAAAAACGTTATTATTTTAGGATATTCATCAGGGTCATCTTCGTAAGAAAAGCCCAGTTTTCTGTGATTTACTACCGAATTGTTCAATTTGAAATGAATAAACTACAAAATCATATAACTCATCTTAACACAGACATGCGTTTATAATAAAAAAAATAAAATAAAATATGATTAACTTGATGAAAAAAGTTTAGATTTACATTATGTCCAATAATCCATTTAAATCAGTGGGCCTTTGAGACATCATAAGACCACGGAATCAAGAACGACAAGCGGGTAAGAAAAGTAACAGGTGAAATACTTTTTATCTTTATTTTACTCGACGTACAGTAGAACAAAGGCCAGAAAATAGAACTACAATGGAGCTTCATTTATCCAGACGCTTTGGTTCCCAGTCATTTCTCTGGATATGTGAAGCATCCAGATATCTGAATCACCAGTTAAACAAGAAAAAATAGCATTAAAAAATTCTGTTCCAATGAAAAAATGTCCGGATACTGAAGCGTCCAGATATCTGGCGTCTGGATATCTGAAGGTCCACTGTACTTGTAATTTAACATATACATGTATATGCCCCTCTAAACGAAGTTTCGGGGGTATATAGTTTTTGTCGTGTCCATCTGTCTATCTGTCTGTCTCTCTGTTGTCAAAATATTTAACCTTGTCCATAATTTTTGATTTAGTAGAGCTGTATTCCTTGTGACAAAACCTTTCTTTTGGTACCACCATTTTGGACCTTGACCTTGGAATTTGACTCACTTCTACACAAAAAATTCAAATTTTTACTTTGACCATAACTTTTGAACAGTGGATACCGGGAAATTTATACTTCACATATACATTCTTTGTGGCAAGACCTTTTACCGGATATCTCCAACCTTGACCATTTGACCTTGGAGATTTACGTATTAACGAAAAACTTTAACCTTGGCAATAACTTTCGAATGATAAGGGCTAGAGCTTTTTTCTTCACATATGTAATCCTTGTAAGAAGACGCTTCATTGGATACTAAGACAGTTGACCCTTTGACCTTGACCTTGGAGTTTGACCTACTTTAAAAAATAAACCTTGATCATATCTTTTTAAGGGTAAGAGCTAGTGTGCTTTCATACTTTACATATTTAATCCTTTTGACTAGACCTTTCATTTTAATATCAAGACCTTTGACCTTAGAATTTGACATACAGGTGAATCTTGATAGCTCGAACTCTGATCTCTCGAAGTTCTCGGCCTCTCAAAGTGAACCTCCCGTCCCGTTTTTTCCTCTATATAACTAAGCAAATTTACTCCTGATCTCCTTTTAAAAAATCTTAACCTTGGTCATAACTTTTGAACGGCTAGGGCCAGAACTTCCATACTTCACATATATATTCTTTGTAGCAAGAGCTACTGGAGCTATTGGATACCAATAACCTTGACCTTTTGATCTGGACCTTGGAGATTTCCAGACTTATGAAAAAACATTAAACTTGACAATAACTTTTGAAGAGTAAGGGCTAAGGCATTCATACTTCACATATGTAATTCTTGTGACAAGACCTTTCATTCAATACCAAAAACTTTGACCTTTTGACCTTGATCTTGGAGTATACTGTACTAATATAATCTATTTAACCTTGGCCATAACTTTTCAATGGTTAGGGCTTGGGCTTCCATACTGCAAAGACATGATCTTTGTGGAAAGACCTTTCATTTGATACAAATAACCTTGACCTTGATTTTAAAGATTTCTGTACTTATGAAAAAAATTTAGCCTTGCCATAACTTGGGAACAGATGGTGATAGAGCTTTCATGTTTTACAATTGTATTTCCAGGTAAGAGACCCTACTTTGGGTACCAATATATTAAATTTGCATCCAAGAAAAGTTTAATCTTCAAAATGGTGCCATACGGGGGCATCAGTGTTTAACAAACACATCTTGTTACATGTAGCTTTGGGTTTAAAAAGTGAAATTATAGTGTTAGGAATCATTTCCTATGACCTGGAACACTGGATATGTTTTTGAGAACATGAGTTTAAAGATACCATTAACAATGATCTTGAACTTTTGATCCTAAAGTGAGTCGATTTTAGCTTCTGGTCATCCACAACCTCTCTTGCATGTTTTAAAGTATGGTAATCTATTAACAGTCTTCAACACAAACAGGTCCAGCTACAGAGCTTTATCAAGGTATTTGAAACATCTAGATCAAGGTATTTTATGTAATGAAAATTCAAAAAAAAAATTTTAAAAATTAAATACTGAAAGTTGAATTCTGAGTTTTTGTCAGTGTGTTCATTCGTGCATGAAAAGCACTCTGGCATAAAAAAGAATGCATAAAAGAACATCTCCTCACCCGACCATGCTTTCTGATTTCTTTGTGTGAGAGTGCTTTACCCACATGCATGGGTGAATTTACTGACAACTCAGAACTCGACTTTCAGTTTTAAATTTTTAAAGAAATTTTTTGAATTTTCATTACATAAAATACACTGATCAAGGTATTTGTAATTATATACCTTTATAAAGCTATATAGCTTTTTCAAGCTTATACCTTTATGAGGGTATTGTGTTGGACCTGACAAATAGGCAACCACAAAATCTTTTATTCTGATCCTGAAAATTCAATATTATTAAAAACAAGCATTATCTCACAAAGATTCGAGTTTGTTCATTTCAAGTGAAAATGTGGCTAAGCTAGGTCACATCAGACATGTAAACATTGATATCCAATACCTATTACAATAGAATGAAAGGAATATACCGGTAGTTCATATTTAACTTTATTTTCAAAATTTAATGCTCAATTCTCATATCCTATCTCCCCACCCCCACCCCCTCCCTCAAACATAAACCTTAACATCATGGATGCCATGACAATTTTAATACGTTATTCTCATAAATGTAGAACGAATGTACAATACATATAAATGCAACAGTTTACTATACGACAATGTGCATGTTGGAAATTAGTCAAGAGAATAGGTTTAGATATATAAGCTATATAAAGATTGCTCCCAAATTATATACATCAACAATCATGTTAACCCATCAAAACCCAGAACACATATATAATTATCACCTGTTAAATTTAATTCAGAATAAATTTTTTTTTGAAAAAATATCAATTGAATTTACAAACTAGCAAAGTTTTTATATGTTAAATAATTCACCTAATTAACAACAAGTTTTTTTCAAACTATGCAGTGTCTTTAAAACTTATCAGTTATTGTTTTACTCAAAACAATTTATTTCCAGCATACCATATCAATCAATTAATTAATCAAGAGAATAGGATAAGATAATTTATTATATAAGCTATATAAAGATTGCTCCCAAATTATATACATCAACATGTAAACCGAACAAAACCTAGTAGACTTATATACATATATTTACCAACTGTTAAATTATTCAGAATAAAACCTGACTGAAAATATCATTTGACTTTACGAATTACAAATTTTCTTTTTGTTAAATAATTCACCTTTAACATGTATAGCATCTAGATTATTTTGAAACTAAAGTGTCTTTTTAACTTATCATTTATTGTATATAACGCAAAACAGTTCATTTCCAGTATACCACTGATACACATGATTTAAAATGTCTACATGTACTTGTTTAATAATGAAAAATATTACAACTGTGTAATGACATGTAAACACACAGAATGGTTGTATAAAAGAATAAGTACATGTAACTGCAATGTTATTTTTCACTGTAAATACTTGTACACTGTCAGTGTGTTGGTTAGTTGTCTCACATAGAGATTGTTCTCATCATCTACACACACACTACGGGGAAACTCTACCCCTTGTTGTTGTGTGAGTAATAGAGACAAGAACTGACCGTCCTGATCAAGGAGGTGAACAGAGTTACTGATCTCATCAGACACCAGGATGTGACCGAAGACATCAATACAGATTCCAAAAGGACTGAACTCTGACGCCTGACCTGTGTAGGAGAACCTGTATTGTCCTGATTTATTCACCACCACTACGGCTGCTTTATCATAGCCTGATGTACAGATATCTCCATTGATGTTTTCTGTGATATAGCATGGTTCACCATACAGATCCTGTCCTTTGTTATCCCTCTGAATGTTCTGTAGTTCTTTTCCCGTCTTGTTGTACCTTGTGACTTTACTTTCCTTTTTAATTTTCCTCATTTTAAACAGTCCTTTAGTCTCTGTTAATTTCATCATCCCCACCAGTAAGTCACCGTTGATGTGGGAGGAGTGTATACTGAGAGGTAACCAGTCTCCAGTTTTAATGAATTCAGTGATATTATTATCCTGTGTTATCCTATTGATGACTGTCTTGTATTTGTCTGTAAAGATCAGATCCCTGCCCTGTGTCACTGTATGGAAACCTTTCATTCCACTCCAGGTTTCTATCTTCTGTATCACATTCCCCTGTAGATCTGTTTGGACAAGATTACCATCATAGTCACTGATCCAGAGTCTGTCTAATTGATCTAGTGATACATGGTATACTTCATCAACACCTGGTACATTGAACTCCCTGACCTTGGTGACAGAGGCAGATAGAGACATTGTTTGTTTCTTGTCAGATTTCTTTCTGTCCTCTTTCATCTGTTTATGTGTAGGTTTCATTGCTGTATTGTAGACACTTTCCATGGGCTGTATTTCTCTCTTCTCTGCTTTAGTGTTGGGGACATATATTTTACCAAGTAACTTGGTGACATCACTTTTGTTGTATTGACCAGCAGTAAATCCTGGTGTGACTGGTTTTGTTGTCTCTGGTATGGATCGGATCTTTGGTTTCTTCTCAGACATTAATTTCTGGGTTTCTGTAGAGGTCAGGCATCTGTGGAGCTCTTTGACAAGGTTATTAAGATAAGTGATGTAATCATCAATGGTCTTGTCTTGGGTGTTTAGATCTTCTAACACTGAATGCTCTATCTGGTCTAACTGCTTCATGTTCTCAGATATGACTGTGTCCACCAGACTTTTCAGGGACTCGCCTTCAGTCTTCATGGATGTTCTGATGTTGTCCATAAGGTGTTTGATTTCTGAGGAATCTTTTTTAATCTCTTTCTGTAAATCTTGTGATGTGGGGAGAAAATACTCGTGAATTTTGGAGATTTCCTGTTGGAAGAGTGCAAATTTTTCTGCGTAGACTGCTTCAAGATCAACAAATGTATGTTTTGGGTGGTCTCCCTTTGTAACACATTTAGAACATACAGGAACTTGGCATTCTTCACAGAACATGTCCACATCTTTTGTGGGGTGGATCTTGCATTTCTTCACAGGAAGTTGTCGTTTTCGTTGCTGGTAAAGGACCACCTCATGGTTCTTGTTTTCTGGACTTTTCAGATGTTCATCTCTGCATTGTTTACACAATCTTTGATGACAAAGGTTGCAGTAGAACTCGCAGTTTCTTTCACAGTCTTCAATGCCGCATTCTAAAAAGTGCTGGGCTGGGAGGGGAATATCAATTTTAGACAATGCCATCTGAAAAAATAGGAATATATGTTTTATACATTATAATGTTCTAATCTATATTATCGTTCACAGTAGCTTAGCGGGTAGAGCGCTCGCTCCGTGATCGGGAGGTCGTGAGTTTGTATCTTGGCCGCGACTGACCTAGTCGATAAAATGGGTAGCAATTGTTCCTTTGCCATGCGCTCGGCACTTTGAAGTGAAAGTTGCGGGTCCTTCAGATGAGACCTTAAAAACAGAGGCCCCATGTCAGCGGCCGGCGTTGGCACGATAAAGATAGTGAAACGGAAGTTGATTTTCATTGTTTAGTTTCGTATAAACGTTAGACCTACGTTTTCACTTAATTCTTAAACACTAAAAAATATTAATTTTACGATCATACAAGTAGTATGAATCTGCCAATGTATAGGGACTGCTCTGAAGTAATACACGCTATATTACAGTGTTTTGATACCTATCTGGAGACGTTGTTTGCTACAAATTTCAGCCGTGTGTCTTCTTATACATTGTAGTAAGACCTGAATAAGGCGTACAGTTGCGGAGGGCACATAGCTGAAACTTTACAATAACCATAACATAAGACCTGAATAAGGCAGTTGGTTGGGTATAGAGAGAGGTGGCATACCACGGATAAAGGTGGGGGAAGTGCCAAGAGGCAGTACTATTGTGGAGTGGCAGGATTCGAAGAAATTTACTTGCGGGAGACACCCATAGGCCACAGTTAGTGGCTGTCCAATCAAGAAGAGAAACCCATTGTACTATTTGTATATATTTGTGATTGTAGTTTTATTTGGTCAACAAAAACCTGAGTTAACAGGTTAACGAACCTAAGTGTAACGCCTCGGTGATACAAGACATATCACCAAACACACCAAGCTCGGCCGCGTTGCACGTTATAATCCCTCACTGCTCTATGGCCCCGAGTGCCGAGTAATTGTAAAAAATTTGAAGCCCTTCACCAGCATACGGTGACGTCTCCATATGATTAAATGTCTCACCCCCAAGAGCAGTATTAAATGTGGAAAGAAATACCAGGTAACCATGAACGGGGATCTTTTATTATTTGTAAACATGTCAACTGTGATATAATTATTCATTCAATTTGCTATTCTAGTACACCAATAATTTTTTCTTGGTTTTTATTCCATCATTCACATAAAAGTTGATTTAAATTAAATTAAATGACCTTTATTGTTACATGTACTTACAGCTTTTATGAATGACCGACAAATGACATTGTTGACAGCTAGACGTTGGAATGTCAAATGAGATTTCAGTTGAGACTTGAACGAGATCTGTAATTTACTTCCTGGTTAAAATAGAGATAAATATAGATTTAAATACCCATACCTGAGGCCTGTTTAACAGAGCGAACGTTTGCCAGATCTCGCCAACATTCTTTTTACCTCCATTAAAAAACTTCTATGTATATATTTAAGGAATGTTTTTAAATTTAGTGTGAATTATTGGTGTGTGAAAAATCACACAGAATTGTCACTTAGGCATATTTCATGAAGCGTGCTAGTGCTTCAAGAAAAATATGCCTTATATTTACATTTTTCAGTGTCTAAAAGCACCAAAACTATATTGCTGCAATATATATATATCCAACTGACACAAACTATATTAAGGAATTTGCAGTATATTGTTGTTACTCATGTCTCTCTGTCCGTCTAGCTGTCTGTTCATCGGTCTGTCACTTTTCTTCCCTGAACTCCTCTTACATTTTACACAGTAGCCTAATCATTTTTAGTTAGATATGCAGAAAGGTTTCAGAATTTTCATTTGATAGTTCACATGAATTTTAGAAGTGGAACTTTTGCATTTTTTTTCCAGCAATTGTTTGATGAAAAAGACAATATTAATTGCAATTGATGAATAAATATAGTTGCATAATACAGTATTTATAAGTGTATATTTCGTGTATTACAGATTGCTATGGGTCTGCCCCTGTACCGGTTGAAGGATATCAGACAGCTGTATGAGGTGGATACCTGGGGGGACAGTCCTATTGACTTCTCTAACCCCTCCATACACCCCCGACCCCGGGGCCATGTCATAGCAGCCAGGATCACCAGCGAAAACCCTGACGAAGTAAGATTCTTTAAAAAGACATCAAAATTTGTTACAGCAAAATGAGAAGGAAAACTCAATCCATATATCAAGAAATAGAGTTGTTTCCCGTTGTGGAGTAAACTTAATGTTTCCCTTCTTTATGATTTTTTCATACATTTTGGTTTGATATAGGATAAATATTCCTTTTTATTCAATAGTTGTAGAATCCCATTAATAACATTAAATTCATTATGATTATATTATACAGTACAATAATCATATAGCGTATTAAAATTCTCTTTTGGTAGGGATTTAAGCCTAGTTCTGGGACAGTCCAGGAGTTGAATTTCCGCAGCAGTAAGAACGTGTGGGGGTACTTCAGTGTGTCTGCCACGGGGGGACTACATGAGTATGCAGACTCACAGTTTGGACACTGCTTCTCCTGGGGAGAGAACCGGGAAGACGCCAGAGAGTGAGTGAGGGGATAGGGAAGGTTTGAAGGAGGGGGTAGGGCAATTTATGGTAATGCCTGATATCAGGATATTTTGTTTCAAAAGAAATTTCAAATAAATTGCAATCATTTAATTTATGTTCAAAGGAAAATGTTCACTTTCTTTAGATAGAATTAATTTATTTATGCATAAATTTATTAATTTTTACCAACCATTTTAAATTCTACTCACTGAAATATCCCCTGATATACTGTAAACCAACTTTAATTCATGGCGATTTTCGTGATTAACTTGGGTAAAACTAGTTCGTTACGATAAATTTTGGCGATTAAACCGATTTTGGATCTGTTATTAATTTAAAACAACGAGACTTTCAAGACCAGTTTACAGCGAGAAATATTTGCGATGACAAGACTCTCACGAATTTCTCGAAAATTTCTCGCACACGAATAAAAGTTGGTGTACAGTAACTAAAGAATTTATATGGAAAAAAATGAAGAGGAATTATAATGAATGATCAATAGTTTAATGAACAGAAAATTTATGGAAGGAAGCATTCTTTAAATACTTAATTTTAATCAAATGACAGGAATTTAGTGGTGGCATTGAAGGAGCTCTCAATCCGGGGAGACTTCCGAACCACTGTGGAATACCTAATCAAACTCTTTGAGACCGAGGAATACCAGAACAACAAGATAACGACGGGCTGGCTGGACAAGCTGATATCTGAGAACGTCCAGGCGGAGAAGCCGGACGTCATGCTGGGGGTGATATCCGGAGCGCTCCATATCGGGGACCACCAGATCCAGGAGTGCTTCCAGATGTTCCAGACCTCACTGGAGCGTGGACAGATCCTGCTGGCTACGTCACTCAAAAACCACGTGGATGTGGAGTTCATCAGCGAGGGGGTCAAATATAATGTCAAGGTAAGGTCAAGGACAGGACAGGTTTGAAGATTTATACCAAGTTTGATTTTCAGTAAATGAGAAATATGGATTTCCTGATAATGAGGTTGTAAGCAAGGGGATCAAGTATAATGTCAAATTAGTTTAAGGTTATGGACAGGACATGTTTGAACATTTATACCAAGTTTGATTATCAGTGAATGAGAAATTTAGATTTTGTAAATGTAAGGTTTTACTAGTACATGTATCAATAATGTACAATAGAAAAAAAATTGGACATCAAATAAATTCAGAATTTAATAACACTGTTCAGTAAGTTTGAAAAAATAATGCTTTTGACAATTGTTTTATTACCATCATGGTAAATATGTATGAATACAATTTTTGTTGTTTTTTTTTCTAGGTGGTGAAGACGGGGCCAAACAACTACTTTATTTGTATGAATGACTCCATGCTGGAAGTGGAGGCCCACAGGTGATATACAGATCAGTTTGATTATTCAATGACAAATGTGTGAAATTTCAACCATGATTGATACATGTATCAAGAATAATTTGTATTTAGGGAAATTATAAAAATAAAGTTACAGAAACTGTATATATAAATTGTAAGATTAATACTATAAACCAACTTTTACTTGTGATGACTTTATATCATGATATACTGGGGATAAAGTAGTTTGGGACAATTATTTTTTGCGATCAAGTCTTTTTTTGGATCCATTGTTAATAGACACAGAGACTTTATTAGGTCACCTGAGTAACTCAGGTGACCTATTGCTATCCGTTTTCGTCCGTCGTCGTGCGTCGTGCGTCGTGCGTCGTGTGTCGTGTGTCGTGTGTTAACATTTGAACATTTTCAGCTTCTTCTCTGAAACCACTGAACCAATTTCAACCAAATTTGGTATACAGCATCTATGGGTGGAGGGGAACAAAAATTGTGAATTTCATGGTCCCCGCCCCCCTGGGGCCTGAGGGGTGGGGCCAAAACCACTAAAATTATTGCAATCTTTAAAAATCTTCTTCTTTACTCCTGGACATCAAGCAGGCAAACTGTTAGCATGAATGTAATAAGCATTGAGTCCTCTACCAAAATTGTGAAATTCATGGCCCCAGGGCCAGGGGTTCTAGTGCTAGGGCGGGGCTATATAGATTGTATAGTGAAAATGCATTATTTCTTTGAAAATCTTCTTCTCTGCTCCTGGCTATTATATAAACTA